AAATGCAGTATTTGTCTAGAGGGGCCTTTGACTGAGTTATCTAAACAATTGTTATATTACAATCTAGCTTCCCTTTGTATTTATTCTATTTTTAATCTGTCATTATACAGTATCTTCTATATACAGTCATCTTATTGACTTTTATTATCTTTAATTATCTTTACTGCATTTTTGCCACTTTACTTTTCTTTCTTTTTTCTCTTTATATTCAAGTGATGAAAAAATCAAATGACTTCAAATACTAGTCAGACACACCAGTAATCGCAAACCGCATTTTAAAAACATTATGGTTTTTATTATAATTTTATTAAATTTCCTTTTCTAATCGCTGTATATAAGCCAGACTACCTGACCCTAATAGTTCAAATAATAGCTTAATATTAGTTCAATTTAAAGATTTAAGTAATATATTCCAGGGCTTGAAGTAACACAACTTTAGTCAATTTTTGACCCAACATTTAATCTGTACAACTTTAATGATTTGGGAGAAAACAATTATAGTGCAGCGCATGGAAGTCATGCCATAAAGCTTTATATTGATTAGTTATTAATTGAAATTACTGTGTTTGAAGCTACTTTGAAGATCAGACAGAAATACATGCTGCGACAAAAACAGATCAACAAACATACTTCCTTTGTTTGTTGTTTTACTCTATAAAAAGTCAAATATATGTTCAGTTAGCAGAGAAACAACTTCCCACTTTATGTTAGCAGTTTAAGACATTTTTGCCAACAACTATTTGACATCACCTGGGAATCGAGCCCTCTGGTAAATACCCCAAATTAACAAGCCACATTTTGTAAAAAAAAAAAAAAAAAAAGTGTTACACAACTGAATATATATGTCCTTTGAAAATATCCATGTACTCATTCTAAGTGAGTTGGATATACTTGAATACTGTCAGTTGTTTTTATCTTTTATTGGGCTGTTCATTATTGTTCTTCTTGGAAAACTTCAAGACAGTTGGATGAATTTTAAGGTGGTTTTTCAAAAAGTATCCAGTGAGACTCCAGGGAAGCAGATTGTGTTTCTAGTAGGTTTGATGAATATTCAGCTCCACTGAGGCTGCAGATGTTAGATGCCGAATTTAGCATGAACAGCACGAAACAGGAAAGCGACCCAGAATACTGTTCTCATTGATCATCTAAAGCTCCATTCAAGATTTTGTTTCTTAACCCCCGGGATGAATATGTGTAAAAAAAAAACTTTTGTCATGTTTTGTACATTGGGGGTAGTAGCAAAACTGAGACTTAAACCGAGAGTAGTGGAGGTTAGATTATTAAAATAGCATTACAGATACACAAAAACAAATGTGGGGCTGTCCCGCACAAATTGGGACATCTTGTCACCCTAGTTAAAGATCTTGAATCAGGAGAGCAG